ATGGAGGTCCTAGTGATGAAGCTCCTGATGCCAATGAACAAAGGTCTGTGAGTGACGGTGTGATGACAAGGTCCAGCTGGCAATGGTGGGACCTTGGTCATGCCAAGCCCACAGCCATTGAATGAGGCAGTAGATGTGGTCTTCAGGGTGTCCACCAGGAACCATAGGAAACATAAAGGTCAGGAAAGAAAGAGGCCCTGCTTCCAAGTGGCTCACAGACAGACCAGAAGGGAAACTGCCAAACACAAGGGCAAAGATACTTTGATACTAAAGTGGGACATCTTCAAGTTTAGACTCCTTGGCTCTGCTGGCTTAAGCAGATCACAGGCCAGATCCTAGACAGCCTCTCTGCTACATCCAGCACTCTGTGATCATCAAACTAACACAAAACAGTGGATTCTGATCCACATTTTAATTATCCAATGCTGACTTGTATCGCGCCTGCATTTCTTATCCATCTGGGGAGTGTCGCGTGCTCAGCTAATTTAACAAGCAGCATTAACTGGGGCCTGTTAGGAGTGCTCCTCCCAGGACCACCCATTAGGCTGCTGGCTCCAGCTGCCCTCCACCACTCCACCACTTGTTCTGAGCCGGCAGCTCCCCCAGTGCCTACCTCCCCTCCAACCTGTCCCCCAAGTGCCACCAGCAATTTTCCAGATCACTGAGGAGCTGATGACTTGTTTATGACACAGTACTGGTGCTTTCAGCTCCTATTTCCATTTACTCTTGATCTTCCAGGACAGCTAGAATGGAAAAGGAGATCTACTTGCCCCAAGCCACAGCCTGGGAGAGTCTTTCCAACATAGGCTGTCCCTCTGGATTTCCGGGTAGAGAGATGACCACCTCCACGGAGTGCTGGCAGGGCAGCGGCTGGCTGTCTTTGCTCCTCTGAGCATGAGCCTGAGAAGTCAGACCTTGGTTGTTATCTCAGCTGTAGGAGGAAAAGAGGAGGGTCTTGCAGGGCACCTGGATCACAGGCCTTCACATTTCTAAGCAGCCAGCCTGGGTCACCCGGGACCTGCCCCTCTTTTCCACCTACATGTTATTCCAGCCATAAATCCAAGTGACAAGCTTGAACTTTCCTCAATTGACATGTTTACAAGGGAAGTCTACATTTGACAGGAAAATTAAGCCTATCAATCACCTAACGAGCTTCTTAATGAATGGGTCTCTGATCTCCTCTGGTAGTAGGGTTTATTGATTAGAAAGGGGCAGCCCAGGCCCCTTGCCTGTCGCCCACTCCCCAGCAGCCTCTCCCTCTGCCAGATGTGGCTGCCCTCTGACCTCGCTGCGACACTCCAGCCAGGCTCCTGCCTGAAGCTTGCAGAGGGTTCTGGTTCAGGGTTTATCGAGAGGTCAGACCCCCTCCTGTCTCTGTCCTGTGACAGAACAAAGGGAACAGATGCAGCCTCAGAGCACCCACCCAGCATATGGAAGCTATCTCCTCAGTCCCAGTAATTACCCAGGAGCTCGCTTGTTCAATGCCTTTGCTTTTTATTGCTCAGAAACCAACCTATTCCCCAACATAAAACACTTTAACGGTGTCTCCCTCCGGGGTTTCTGGGAGAGGCCCTGTCAGGTATAAAATGTGCAGAACCCCTCTGACAGCCCACTGGGGCAAGGCCTTCCACAATTAAAAGAGGGAGACAGGGCAAGGGGAGGCGGGGCAGCTGGTGGCAGACAGAGTCAGAGTCTCATCATATTCGGAGGGCCCACAGCATTCAGGGAGAGCTTTCTGGAGTGCTTAGCAAGGCAGGCAAATTAAAAACACAAGCACTCTCCTCCAGTTTCTGGTACACAGGGAGGGAGAGCCTGAAGTCTGAGTTGGACACCAAAAAACACTGCATAGCAATTATACATAAGAATGAAGGGTTAGTACAGATCATGAAGCAGCCTCGACCTTGGTCAGCACTCTTTTTACAAAAACCTCACAGCCTTGCCCTCGGTGCTCCTCCAGGAAGCCAGATCTTACAGGTTCACCAAAGGGCAAAAACATGGAAGTAGAAACTGAACTTCAAGGAGATGAGCCACCGGCCAGAAATGGACAGGTTTAAATCCCAAAATAGCTTCTATACCCATCCTAAGTAAGGTAGTGGAGGACTTCACTGGTTTCCTCTCTCGTGTGCTGGGCCCCTGGAAGAGGTCGGCAGACTCCCAAGTGGCCCAAGAGGCTGTGTTCCTTTCCTAGGGCTGCCATAATAAATCACAACAACTGTGTGGCTTAGAACAACAGCAAAGTATCCTTTCACAGCATTAGAAGCTAAAGTCTGAAATCAAGGTGTCAGCAGGTCCGTACACCCTCCGAAGGCTCCAGGGAAGCCCTCCCAGGCCCCTCCAGCTTCCAGCAGTTGCCAGCCACCTCTGGTTTCCTTGGCTTGCAGCCCTGTCACTCCTGGGATGCCTGTCTTCTTGTGACCATTTTCCTGTGTCCTTATCCTAGAAAGGCACTCATCACCCTCAGCCAGCATAACTTCATCTCAACTAATTACATTTCCAAAGA